TTTGGATCCCGGTCTGGTGACCTTTGCTGCGTGTCTTCCCCTTCTCTGTCTGCCCACTTTCACAAATAAAGGCCACTTGAGCCTAAAAACTGAAAAAAACTTGAATTATTTAAAAAAAGAAATGTCAAAAATAATGTTAACCCTTTAAAGCCTGATTCAAGAATAACACAAAACAGAAAGTTACTTTTTTTTGGTTTCAGTCCTTATTTGCCCTTTTAACAAAATATGTAAAAAGAAAAAACAGAAATACATTTTTGATATTAATAATTTATTACTATGCGATAAGTCAAGATCATTTTTTGTGTAGTCTTCTACTGGCTGTTATCAGGTATATCTGATCTGAATAGGATTTTGAGCAAAGTTTTTACCATTAAATTATGCAAAAGGTGTCAGACGCAAAACATTTCAGAAACCGCATGTATCAAATATGATACATTTGGCATTATAGGGTTAAAGGACACAGCGCTAAGCAAAAAGTTAAAATGTTAGCATACGTGTAAAAACCCATATCTAGTGTACTTATTAGCACTGCACATCACCCTGATCACACCAAACCATCATGAAACCGGATGGTGGCAGTATCCTACTAACCTGACAACAGCCAGATGCATGTCTCGCTCCGCCCAGCTCCACTCACATACATCTGGGAACCCGCTCATTGAAAGTGATTTCCCCAACCGAATTTATGGTCTGTCCAATCAGAACGCAGGGCGGGTGTGTCCTGGAGTGGAGAAGCGACCGTGAGATTCCAACAACAATGGCGGCTCGCATTGAGGAAGCAAGCGTTAGCATTGATGCTGCTATTTCTTCTGTGTTGTCCAATCTTTCTGATATTGTTTCATCAAAAGAACATCAGAGAACGGCTTTGAAGGCTTTTGTTGGTGGAAACGATGTTTTCGCCCTTCTCCCGACCGGATTTGGCAAGAGCTTGATCTACCAAATGGCTCCTCCTCTCACAGCGTCACGGGTTAGCTTCGGTGTGAGTGGTTGAAATAGCACGTCAATAAAGATGACAGACAAGTGGCTTATCCAATCATATGCAAGGAGTTTTGATAAGGCCCAGCCTTCAGTAAAGGCAATTCCTATGGCGGGTTCCCAGATGTATGTGAGTGGAGCTAGGCGGAGCGAGACATGCATCTGGCTGTTGTCAGGTTAGTATCCTACTGGCATAGCTAGGAAGTGACTAATGTTAAAAAGTAGTTTTTTCTCTCCACTGTCGCTACATCCTTCCTCATTGGTAGGGATTGAAAGTTGGTGGCTCAATGCAATCATCTGGGATCCCTTAGTTGTAAACCTAGCTGATTATAGCGGTAAACTGTATAAGACTTCATTGTTTGGAATAACTTTGATTATTTGGAGGGACAGGACTTTACAATGGAATCTGAATTAAATTGACTCTGTGTAAAGTTCCCTGAGACAATATATGTTGTGAATTGGCACGATATTAAAGTGAGCTGAACTAATATTAATATGATGTATGAACAGTCTTACTGAAGTACGATTTCTCCAGTAAGTTCAGAGCTTCAGACCTGAACCACTTCAGAGTCAGTGGTTCAGGTCTTTAGGCACACACAGGGGTGGATTTAGGAAATTTGGGGCCCTAGGCAAAGACAGGCAGGGGGCCCTCTGAATTAAGAAGACAACACATAAAACAGACCCATTACGCAAATAAAGAAAGTTTAATAGAATAGACATAGAATAGTTCTTCAATGTTTTCATTTTTCGCAATATGTGACTTTTCATGCTGTCTTAAAATGAATGAAAATTGCTCCTTCCAAAAAGGCGACGGCAAAAGTGAGAAACACTGTAGACAAGCCATGATCTGCTTATCTGTTCTCCATTTTTCATTTGGATGAAATAATAGCTGCATGAATCATGACAGCAGACAAGATAGAGGAGAGCAGGAGGCGGGGTTACCAATCTACTTGCTCTGGAGAGCAGAGTTCGCTGCTTTTAGATGTTGTCTCCAAAGTCTCCAGTAGCAGAAAAAAGTCTCTAGATTTGGCGCTAGGCACTTTTTAGAAATCAAAGTGCTAGAGGGGTCTGAAAAGTGGCTAAATATAGTGACTAAAGCGCTAAGTTAGCAACACTGCTCTTTGCGTCGTTTGTTTTCAAATGGTTTGCTGCTGTCTGTTTGGACCTTTCTGAACATGTGCAGCAAATGGACTGATCCAATATGGTGGACACTGAAGGGGGGTTGCTGAGACACAATATTATCAGCGTTCTGATGGCATTTAAGCGACAGGATTTTTAGCAAAATGATAATTAATGTGCACAAATAAAGGATAGTTGTATTAGCAATACATGTAAACAGTTTTATGAGGCATCTGCCTGGTATTGCCTAATGGTAAATCCACCCCTGTGCACACACCAACTGCTCTAAATGGAATGCAACTGTTAGCTCTAATAGCACAAGAACAACACAGTTACCAGAATCTGAAGCTAAATAAATATCATTCAAAATTCTCAAATGGTGAACGAATCAAAACTGAAAACCCTAAAGGATGCTGTGTCTATAAACTGACTGTAGACTGTTTTCTCAAACTTTTGATATAAAAGGTAGTTTAGCCTTTAGGCAAAGACTATTAGAGAACTTCTGCCCCTCTCATAGTCAAGGGGCCGTTGTCTCATTGTTTTAGTTGTTCAAAAGTTTTCTGTTCAACAATATGCTTAGATGATAAACTAAATTTTGTATTTCTCAACAACTGTAGTCTTTCACTTGGGCAAAGCTGACAGAAAAAAAGAGAAAGTGAGAGCAAGCATGACATATATCATCCCTAACTTCCTTTAGAGTTGACTGTAAAAGGGATGTGTGATGTGCAACCGACATGCAGAGAGGACGCTTTCCTGGGGGGGTGGTTGGGGGATGCATCCCCCCCCCATGCATGATGGCACCCTTTCATGGTTTCACAGTTGGACAGGCGGAGTCCAGATGCTCTTGCATGATAGCCGTAACCAGGCCTATAAAGCAGCTTTTAAACTCCAGTTGGGTGTCATTCAGCGGCTCCACCCTTATCTACAGCAAAATGCTAACACATCACAGGAAACGACATTACTTTACAGCAGGCTTGACATTTACACCATGTTTTAGATGGTGGTTTTCTTTCCAGATATTTTTTTTTTCTGAGACAAGCAGGAAAGCTATCAGTTTTTAAATGATCATGCTGGAAATTATGTCATCATCTCTAGCTTCCTGTTATGCTTGGTACTGGACACACTATTATATGTTCCAGAATTCAAAAGAATAAAAAAGTCCTTAAATGTCCATTTTTTGGAGCATTCTAAGTAAATTAAAATCAATGTCCATCAAGTTTCTCATTCAAATTATTTAAATAGAGTTGCTAAGAATGTCTTTTTTTCTCATTGACGTAAAAACTCTGTATCTGCGTTAGCAAATTCAACTACTTCCTGTCCAGTTTGAAGTATAGCGAGAACTGTTAGCTCTTTTGTTGCTCTATCTGGACTAAAAAAAAATCTTGAGTGTGCTTTTCTATTAATCACAAAGTTTTTAGAGAAGTTTTTGCAAAGCTACAAACTGGATAGCTATGTTTGTCCCGTAAAGGCAGGCTTTAAAAGTCAAAGGCTTGATTAAGGAACCACCCTGGAAAGCTTGCATGGCTGGTGAGTTGCTGCCTGACCTGAAACACTGCAGCCTGGCAGGAAATGAGTCACTCGCTGAAAGGGTGCTTCTCTTGGCCTTTGGAGCCTCCCCTAATCAGTATTATCCCTAAAAGAAAACACTTTCCATGGAAGAATGCAATCAAATAGTTTTGCAGCCATGTTAACTGTTTCCTGTATTTGGGGAAAACAAGAGAGAGATGGTTACATGTTCTTATTGCATAGCTTTCGTGCAATTGTGTCTTTTCAGAAACTGATCTAACATATTGATGAAATTAAAGTTTAACTAAAAGGACGAGCTATACCTTAGATAACCAGATGAGCTCACAAAAACATATTTGAAAATTATTATTTAGAATTAGTTGATTTTGTTCCCTTAAGCGTTTTCTGCAAGCTAACAAAGAATACAAAGTGGTTATATATATATATATATATATATATATATATATATATATATATATATATATATATATATATATATATATATATATATATATATATATATATATATATATATATATATAGCATGATTTGCCTTTATTGCTGCTCTTTGCTGCCACCTACTGTCAAAGAGATCAACATTGCAACATTGAATGAGTTGAGTAGATCCCAAATATTTGATATGAAATAAACCTCTGGAAAAAAGTTAAACATTTCACATTTAAATGTATTATCCAACCTATGGGCTGGAAATTGAAATTTTAGCAATTATGTAAATGTGCAAAGCAAATATTATACATATTGACAGTGTAGCCTGACTACATGTTAGTATTTTTTCCACAAAACGTTTATGTGCAGGTTAAAAATTGCCCTAAAAAACATAATGATAAATAATAATCATGGTTATCAGCAACGCTGTTATTATTATTATTATTATTATTGTTGTTGGTTTTTTTACGTTATATTATATCAGCATAGCCTACGATATCATATTTTGATATGAAAAAAAAATTAAATATAACATGATAAATAGAAAAATCTTTATTGTTAAAAAAAGTTCTTATTTCAAAATATTAAGTATAGGTAATTAATCAATAAGTTCCCCTTAATTTTTTTTTTTTTTGTTAATGCTGTAGAGTTATAAGAAAACACCCATACAGATGAGATAAATGCCTTACCTATAGCAGAATCAAAGCATATGATTGTGCAGATTTTTTGCAAAGAGTATGTAGAGAATTATGCCTGTCTATAAATACAATTAATTTGTCTTTCAGCTCTCGTCCCTTTGCCATAATTCAAATCATACATTTATTCTTCGTACGTTGGGAAAATGTGAACAGTCATAGTCGATGTGCTAATTTTTATATTGTTTTTTAGTTGTGCTGATTTTATCAGGCATATCACGAACAGCTAAAAAGGGAACCTCAGCCTTTATAAAGAGTTTCTCCCCCCGTTTAACCGTCTCAGTTGTCGGTGAGGCCGGCCGGGCGGATCCCATATCAGAGTGAAACAGAAAAATAAAAAGCAACACAACTACAGTAACAACTTGGCCTTTACCTAAATTAAGATAACAAGCTCCCCCGTGGATATATAACCAGAAGGTGGGTGAATCGGGAGTCAGGCATGTCGAGGAAACAAGGTGCCCGACTCGCTGGTGGTCAGCACGCGCTGGTGTTAACATCAGACAGGCGAGCTAATGCTAAGTCAGCGTTGTGTGCTAACGGTAGTACGGCCATGGCCACTTTTACCGAAACTGGAAGGAAATGCAGACAAACTGACCTCACTGTTGAGGAGAACACGGCTTTATTACCCTGAATTACCGATACGTTGCTTATTATTGTGTAACTTAGTCTCGTGTTCTTGCTAGATTGTTGGGAACGAAAGTTACCCGGTTGTGGCGGATATCGCCTGTTTAGCAGAAACAGTTCTTGTGTTACGAAACTAAATATTCCAAAAGTTTAAGCTACATATTGTGCATTCTTTTATTTATTGTGAAACTCTCTTGACTGTACCATCATATAAAAAACAAGACATGTCATCGTAAACAAGGTTTCTCTTGAAGTGCCCTTTTGAATGCGTAGCTTAGCACCACACGTTAACATACAATACTGAAGTCAAGCCAGCCTCCACCTCGGAATCGATCACAAGTTATCGGTCGCTCATAGACTGTGAAGTACGGTACCACTGCTGGCTTAGACTTTTCAAAACAAAACCTTCAAGTTTAACTTATAAACCAGGATTGGTTAATATTTTGCAACCGTCTGGTCTTAAAATAATTTCTTATATGCTTATGTGAATATGAATATATGATAATTTTTATTTTATGTGGTTAGAGTTTAACATGGTTAATTTGTGCTCTTTATTCCAGGATGTCCATTTATTTGACATAAGCTTAAATTGTTGTTAAACCAAAACTTTGTTTCCCTTTACTGATTTCACTTCAGGGTGCCAGTCTAGTAAAGCAACCCTCGATGTTTCTCACTAGTATTCATCAAGGTCTGATGTGGAATTTTAAAATGAAATCCCATCAAAATCTGTAAAATTGGCAATATTTATCTCTTTTTCACTACTTTTTGTCAAAGGTCTTCAATCTTTGATGTGGGATTTAAGAATTAAAGTCTCAATATCTGTAAAATTGGTCACTTTTCCCTATATTTTTATATTTTATTCTCAAATATTACGACGACACTCCACATTTCAAATCTCACATTTCAAATCTAACGTCAGACCTTCGTAATATTTAGTGAGAAGCACCTAGGGTTGTCCTACTGTCACTTTGAAGTGAAATCAGGAACTGGTATTGGAATTTCTGGGCAATAGACATAGAAATATAATAAAAAAAATCTAAATTTTACAGATTTTGTTGGGCTTTAATTTAGAATTCCCACATCAGATCTCAATATTTGGTGAGAAGTATCCACTGGTGTCCTACTGTCACTCTGATGTGAAATAACTAACTGGAAATATGGAGTATTTTAGAAATATTCCTGGAAAAATAGATAAAATTGCCAATTTCACATATGTTGATGCGGTTTAGTTTTGAAATTCCATATCAGACCATGATTATCTTACGTGAGAAATATTAAAGGGTGCTCTAGCATTACCCTGAAGTCAAATTAGTAACTGGAAACAGTAAAATTTATGGCCTTTCTGAAATTGTGCACAAATTAACCATGTAAAACACCAACAACAACAAAAATCCATATTCACATAAGAGCATAAATAATTCTTGGCCCAAAGATGTATAAATTATAACTAATTCTAGTTAATAAACGTTATAATTTATCAGTAATAATTATTATCGGTATTATTTTGAACAGTTAAGCCAGCGTTGGTACCATATTTCATAGTGTATGCGAGACCAAAAAGCCAGTGAGGGCTGGCTTGATGGTTTTTGAATTCGATGCTGGCTGTACTTCGGTTATTTAATTTGGATAAATCCGTTTCTTTCTAAATGTTCAACCATTCAGACGTCATCTATCTCAACTTGTTTTGTGCGAAATCGTGTTTTTAAGACTATAAATCATATTGAAAGGCAACAAAGCCTATTGGTGACCTGTTTTGTGTTGATTTCAACATTTGATTACATTTTGACATGTATTATCTGCTCACTCCTATCATGCTTGCTTTCTTATCTCCATTTTTGCTTACAAAATGCACAACAAATTAGTTATATATATATATATATATTTTTTTTTTTTTATCCATATATTGGCCAGCTGGAGTTTATGATTCAAGATTAAAAGTTGTGGAATAATCTTGGTAAAGTATCAGCCATACAGTACTCATTTACTGTCATAATCTTTGTATTTATGTGCCTGTTAGTTGTAACACAGAGTTCCAGTTTTAAAGTAGCTTTAATTCTATCATGCAGTTCCTTTATTTTATTTTAAGAAGATTCCAGTAAAGGGACCAATGCTCTGCTTTTATCTAGAAAGAAATTAAACTACTAACTCCTCATGCATCAATGGGGACTGCTAGTTAACTCCTTCCTCTTTAGACTAAAATGTTCCTGACAGTAATGACCTGGGAGGTAATGGGGTGAAAAATGCTCCTTTAAGTATCAGAGGTGTACCGATTCAGCTTAAAATGTTTGATTTAAGTCAGTTTATTTATGAAGAACTATTAAAAAAATGCATCCAAACTTGATTTTTCTTCCTTTTTTTTTTAGATAACTGTGATAATTGTGATAATTCGTTTCAAGAACTATTAAAATGGAAAATGATGTACTTGCTGCAACTTCTTTAATTAATCTGAAGTATTAAATCTAACAGAAAATCAAAGGTATTTCAAGCATTTATTCATTCGAGATTACAGCCGGGATGCCATGAGCAGGATGTCTGTTTAGCAGCTCAATTTACACGGTTATTTGAGCAATGGCCCCTCTAATTATCTAATATTAGCTCAGTATACATCTTAATCTGTGAAAAAAGCGGATGTATAATATCCATATAGTAATCATTTATAGCTGTTTATTATAAATCTGTGCATTTTAGAAGCAATGGGAACATTTTTAATGGCTTTTGTGAAGCTGTTTCATTTTAGCTGCAGGTTTAGTAAATATTTTTTTTTTATACTATATATTCTTTCCAGACATGTATCTTTACTTTAGGCACCTTTTTATTAATGATATAAATTATTGCCACTATCACATGTTGTAGTGTTAATTGGTTATTTTTCCTTTAGATGCCCTCAGCAATGAATGCAAACAGGACAGTGCAATCAGCCAGCCCAGAGATGGGATCCGCTCCAGGGTCAATGGGCGGCTGTGGGCAGTCTGAGGTATTGAAGCAAGTGTTGTGCGTCATCGACAAGAAGGTCCGCAACATGGAGAAGAAGAAGGTGAGGTTTTTAAACCAAACGGGACTCATTATTAAGTACAACCTTTGACAAAATGCATTGCTGACTCTAAGATTATTTCTGCGCCATGTTCTGTGCGATTGCAGAGCAAATTGGACGACTATAAAGTCAGGAAGAACAAGGGGGAGGGTCTCAACCAGGACCAGCTGGTGAGAGAACTGAAGTTTGATCATTCTGTCTTTGTAATAATAGAAAATGTGCAATAAGTTCACCTTCTATTAGTTTTGAACCTTTTGTTTCTCTGGGATGTTTTTAGGAGGCTCTCTCCAAATACCAAGAAGTCACGAATAATTTGGAATTTGCCCGAGAGCTGCACAAGACGTTTATTACACTGGGACAAGATGTAAGAGGTTTTTTGTTTAATGGTTATTTTTAAGTTTTTCTGAGTTGTGTGTTTTTAAACTTTTTTTTCTTCTGAATTATCCTCATGACGATCAGCTCCAGAAGGTAGTGAAGAAGACGGCTCGGCGGGAGCAGCTGCAGCGAGAGGAGGCGGAGCAGAGGAGGCTGAAGACCGTCCTTGAGTTGCAGTTTGTCCTGGATCGGTTGGGTGACGAGGCCGTAAGGCAGGAGCTGAAGCAGGGGTTGGGCGGCTCACCGCTTCTGACGGACGAAGACCTTGCTACTTTTGATGAGTTCTATAAGTTGGTGGGACCAGATCGCGATCAGAACGTGAGGTTGGTTGAATATAATACAATGTCAGAGATGTCAGCTATTTAATTTGTAGGTTTAGAGTAGGGGTGTAAATCACATCCATCATGGCGATTCGATTCAGTATCGATTTCCTGACCCAACGATTCGATTATTTTCAATACTCAAGAATACACCAAGATACGATTCGATTAATAGGTTCATTTTCTTTTCTTTCTTTTTTTTAACACCTTACAGGCTAGACTATGTTTTAAATTTGAAATAAATCAATAAAAGCTGTAATATCAGCAAATAACAGAAGTAGAAAAGTTGCATCAAAAAATACTGCACAAAATCTGTGCAATGAGTGAGATAGAAGAGCAAGGTGCGTGAGAACGCTGGGACCCTTTTTCCACCTGGATCTCCGCTCTTTTTGGCCCTCATGTCCCTCCGTCGTCAGACTAAACTCGCCCCCACTTCCTCTCCGCCTCGGCCGTATGTAGACCCGCAACGTGTAGCACAGACCACGCTTCAATATTGAGCATAAAAGAAAAATGTCTGTGTCAAGCTTACTGCGACACACTGCTGTAAGAGTATAACCAGGAAGCGAGGTCGGAGGGCAAAATAGGTTTAGCGCCACCGCAGCGCGGGAGGGAGAATTACGTCCAGGAGCAAATGGATAAAAATAGACCAGAGAAAAAAACAAAACATGAATCGATTCTCTTGTGGACGTGTCGATGCATCGGATCGTCGGCTGTTGGATCGATGCATCGATACAAAACGATTATTATTTACACCCCTAGTATAGAGGACGATCTTTTATTTCCGGGGGGATCATCTAAATAAATGGTCCTCCCAACTGTCAATCATTCTGGTGATACGTTTACATAAGGCCGTCCTATGTGCTCGTCCAATTAGCTATCTTTTTCTGCGCATGTGCACTGTCAGGTGTTTATCTGTGAGCTACGGTTTCAGTCATTGAAGCTTACCTTTCTCACCGCGGTTCTTTGAAAATGGCCGATGGCCGTAAGAGGAAAAGTGTCTACGAAGTGTATCAGAAGAAAAGGAAGACCTCAGAAGAGGCAGATATATCCCAGAATGCTTTGTGCAGAGAGCTCTCCTCTCAAAGCATTATGGGATTTGCAGTCACAGGGACCCGCTGTCGCTACTAAACAGCAGCGACTAATAACAAAGATGGTGCGGGCACTGCGCGGAGGAGGAGGCGTTATGTGACCAACGCAACAAATTGCAGCTATCATCTGTCTGAACGGTCAGTTAACGGAGTTTGCTATATAGCCTCCGCTGTATGTGGACACAGTAAGCTTGTATGAGCTATTAGAACAGCACATTTTAAACAGGGTTTGCACGAGGAGGAATGGGTTCTTCTGCATGCTCTTGAATGCACAAAAGCATGCCTGAATTTTGCCCTGAAATCGAAGGCTTGATGGTTCAAGCTCCGACTTTCAGTGTTGTTGTGTCCTTGGGCAAGACACTTCGCCTGCATTGCCTACTGATAGTGGTCAGAGGGCCCGGTGGCGCCAGTGTACGGCAGCCTCGCTTCTGTCAGTGAGCTCCAGAGGAGCTGTAGCTACAATGTAGCTTGCCACCATCAGTGTGAGAGTGAATGGGTGAATCACTGAATGTAGTGTAAAGTGCTTTGAAGTCACCTGACTTGAAAAAGTGCTATATAAGTATTAGGGATGGAACGGTTTATGAAAACCGTCCGAACCGTTCGGTTCGCGTGTGTTTCGTTCGGTTCATGCGCTGCTCCTTTTTCTCATAGGCGAAGCGTTTACACTCCAGAGCAGAAGGTGGCAGTACTTCGACCAAAGCCAACCACCAGTAGTAAACAAGAAGAAGAAGAAGCGAAGCAGCGTAGCCGGGTGTAGCAGAAAAAAATCAGTTGTTGTGGAGAATTGTGTGGGTATGGCGAGTGGGAAAGAACAGGAGTTGGAAGACGCGCCAGCAGCACTTTATAGGTCTGCTGTATGGGACCACTTTGCATTTAGAGTGACCTACGATGACGGCGGGAAGAAAGTTGTGGATAAAAGTGCAACAGTGTGCAAGCATTGTGCAACACGTTTTGTTTATGCTAACATCAACATATACCGAACCGAAAACCGTGACCACGAAACCGTGAACCGAACCGTGGATTTTGTGAACCGTTCCAGCCCTAATAAGTACAGGCCATTTTTTAAGTGGAGAGGGCGGGTCTTTTAAAAAAATCCTCCACAATACCTTTAAAACAGAGATTCTGGCATCTACTTGTGTTGCTTGCAGGTTGGCTGATCAATATGAGGAAGCATCTGTGCACCTTTGGGACCTGCTTGAAGGGAAGGACAATGCTGTAGTTGGAACAACATGTAAGTATTAGTCAATACGTGGATGGCAACCTTAGCTTTACTTTTTCTCTTGCATGCCTCATTATCTTCAGATAAGCTAACCTTAGAAGGGTTTTATTAGCCTTTCCTCACTTATTACAGTATATTATAATACTAATATGCTCTACGGTTAAAACTAGAGCTGCAGAGAATTAAACATATGATGTTGGGGGGAAATCTATGTTGCCTCTGTCTGGTTTCTTTGACTTGTGAGGAGTAGTAAATGCAGAACAATGGTGAGAGAAGGGCTGGGCAAAACAACTAAAAAATAAAATCTAAATTTAAGTCATCTCGGATGCTTACAATTTTAATTGAAGTATTAAATCTTGTGCATGTAATACAAATGTTCACTCAACAAAAGTGTAACTGATTTTTTTTATCAGTAAAAAATGTACACCGATATATTCAGTACAAGTGCAAGAAAAAAAGAGCTTCATATGCTGAAATATGCAATTTATCGAACAGTCAATAACATTTTTTTTTCGGGTAAGTAGGTGGTTTGTAAACAGCAGCTGTTTAGAGCCCAGTTTACTTCGATATAATGCAGTTAAGCTCATTTACGGCTGAAAAAAATCGACTGGACCAAAGGTCTGTAGTAGTTGCAAAAAAAAAAGCAGACTTTTCCAAGAGCGCTTGTCGTCTTTCGTTGTACAGTTTTGATAGCGCAACCTCTGCAAAGTATTTGCTACTCGCAGGGTTCCCGCGGGTCCTTAAAAAGTCTTAAAAGGCATTGAATTCTTCAAAATAAAACTAAGGCCTTAATTGGTATTAAAATGTCTTAAATTAGTCTTTCGTAGGTCTTAATTTTTAAATTAAGACCATAAATAGGATTGTTTTTATTATGATTTATTTTTGTAATCTAAATAAAACGTTTAAAAAAAATAACGGCTCTCCATTATTGGTTGCGTCCCGATAGCGGAACCAATAAAGCGTTGTTGCGGCCGGGACATTTGGGAGATGCACCATTTACTTTTTGTCTGGAAAATATGAGCAAGTGTAAATGTAACCAAAACAGTCTCCAGCCAAGAGTTTCCTCCATGGCTAAAACCAGGGAACATCCATGAGGCTCAGTTGATTTTGTGCAAGAAGTCATTCAAGCTCAGAACGATGGGAATTAAGGCAGTGGAGTCGCACATGCGAAGCACGAAACACAAAGCGTCAAAATGGAGTTACCGAGAAACAGCCGGTATTTCTCAGTTTAGTTCCACCCTTGTCTCTGCAACGCCTCCACTTATCACCAAATCAAACATACTAAGAAAACCATAGAAAGAAAAATAGCTGCAAAAAAGACTTAGCACTGGTTATGTTGGGGCTTTAAAACTGATTTGTTTTGTTCCCTGCTAAAACAAAGTTTGTGAATTCAGTTAAATAATTGTTAAAATATATCTGTCATTTGTGTGTTTTTAGCTTTCTTCCTGTATGGGAAGCTTTTCAAAATTTGAAACATTAGTGCAGTGGTTTATGTTAAAATAAACCTTTGGGTTAAGTTGTCGCAATCAGGTTTTGCTTGCGTTTCTTGTGAATTTGGTCTTAAATTTTTATTTCAAGTGGCATTAAAACGTCTTGAATTTAACTTGCCTTATGCTGTAGGAACCCTGACTCAGCAGATCAGATTTAGAATGACACAATTTTAGCTTGTGAAAGAAGCCACGCTTCTGTACGGTGTGAATGGGAACCATGTCCATCCCTATATGAACAGCTACAACGTCTGTCATCTGCTTCCATCGCATCCTAAGCTTGTCGTACGGCACAGAATGAGGTGGCCATGGTTTTGTGCTTTTCGTGTCGTGTTTGTTCTTCGCTCGTGCTACCAACACTGCACTCCCAAAGCTCCGAGTGCTCTGTGCAGTGCCTTTGCCGGAGATGCTGAAACAAGCTAGTTGTGCCGCTAGTCTTGGTTTTGACAGCATTTCGACAAACATTGCACACTACTGTAGTCTGCTCCTCATTTGCCTTTTCAAAGCCGAACCGCTTCCATATAATCAATGAAACACGAGTCCCTTTTCTCAGTACCAACTCTTCAGATTGAGCAGCGGCCATGGCGCAAGTAAACAGTGCAGCCTGCTATCTGGCGGAGGAGGAGAAGGAGGAGGAGATAGGCGGCAGAAGCAAACGCCAAGTAAAAAAAAAAAAAGACTTGCTCAATTTTACTATTTAGAAAATGTAAAATCTTGGACTTTTAAAAACATAAATTGGTCGAATTAAGTCGATTTATCACCCAGTCATAGGTGAGAGACTGCTTGGTTGCCGCAGCTTCCTTTTTTAATGAAATGGCCACTTGTTACCATGGTTTCCAAAAAAAAACAACCTTTTAATTAAAGAAAATATATACCCATAATTGCGTAATATATTGAACCACAATGAACTGTTTAGATGCGCTGTAGATCATTACATTTCAGGTGAATGATAACATCATACTCCTCCCCCGCAGTCCTACGCTCTATATAGTGGGGTTCCTCTATTTCTGTGCTCTGCTTCCACACTTGATTCTAGTGGCTGAATTTCCCTCTCAGCACGTAGTCCTGGTGATGACCTGCTTGTTAGACTCAGGTGTGTTGATGCAGAGATGCATCTAATATGTTCAGGACCCTACTAGATATAGATATAGTCATTGCAATATTTAAAAATAAAATCCCTCTTTGCCCTTTCATGATATTTTACAGCCATACTATGTAGGTAAAATAAGTGAAATCTTGCCCTTTCAGTGGAAAAAATTGCATTGTTTCCAATTGATTAGAAATGGTAAAAAAAATAATTAGGATTTTGGCTATGATTCAATTCTATTCAGTTTATTTCTATAGCGCCAATTCACAGCACAAGTTATCTCAAGACACTTCAAAATTCAACCAGATCATCCAGTCAGATTGATTCAAAGTTTTCTTTCTAAGGGAAACCAGCTGATTGCATCGACTCATTGACTCTTCAGCAATCCCTCACACTAAGCATGCTTGTAGCAACAGTGGAGAGGAAAAACTCCCTTTGAACAGGAAGAAACCTCCAGCAGAACCAGGCTCAGTGTGAGCGGCCATCTGCTGAGGCCCACTGGGGTTCAAGGAGACAGAAGCAGACATAGAAAAAGAAGCATAGATACAAAAGGCAACTGTCAACCAGCTCCACAGGCGGCCCCGTCCAGGAAACACACAGCCAGGCAGACGAGCTCCGAGCCAGCTCCCATATCAGAGGATGAAGAGAGCACATCCAGTTAGTCACAGTCAGAGAAACAGGACTACACTGGAAAACAGGCCAAGCTCCAACATCTAGAAACAAAGGTGTTGATGGCAGCAGCACAGCTGATATTTCTCTCCAGGATGGAGTCACAGCCAAACAGGAACAGACCAGATGAAGCTACTATGAGAAAAAGCAGAGAGAGCAGAAGGTTAGAGATTGAACTAACAGATTCTGCAGAGTGGGAGAATAGAGATAGAATGAAGCAGAATGATGAAAAAGGGGTCCCTATGTCCTCCAGCAGTCTAAGCCTATAGCAGCAGAACTATAGAGATAGCTCAGGATAACCTGAGCCACCCTAACTATAAGCTTTATCAAAAAGGAAAGTTTTAAGCCTAGCCTTAAAAGTAGACAGGGTGTCTGCCTCACGGACTAAAACTGGTAGTTGGTTCCACAGGAGAGGAGCCTGATGACTAAAAGATCTGCCTCCCATTCTACTTTTAGAAATTCTAGGAACCATTAGTAAACCTGCAGATTGAGAGCGAAGTGCTCTGTTAGGAACATAAGGAACAATCAGATCTCTGATATCAGATGGAGCTTGGCCATTTAAGGCTTTATATGTGAGAAGGAGAATTTTAAATTCTATTCTGGATTTAACTGGAAGCCAATGAAGAGAAGCCAGGATAGGAGAGATGTGATCTCTCTTTAAATTTTTCATCAGAACTATGAGAACTATAAGAACTTTGATGACAATTGTGTTGTTTTTTTTAAGTGAGGAACTGTGTTGCGTATATTTCCTTTTAACTGAAAAAATAATACTGATGAAAGTGTGACTGGGCCGGTGTTCTGTCAGACCAGCATACCCATAGTCAATACCCGTTTGTCCCTTCAGTTTATCCCTTTAGTTTTGTACAAAAAAACAAATTATTTAATTTTTTGTTTTTTAAGTATTTCTGCGTTAACTGGTTTCTAAGCATTAACCAGCCTTAAAGAGATACACGCCGGTCGAGGTTAGTCTCGTGAGACCATCCTGATCTCGCGAGCTTTCAAGGTTTCACTTGCAGATCAGTCTGGAGACTCTCCGTTGAAGAAAATTTGGAGCCGTTCACCAAACGAACGTCCAATCAGCGTTGGCTTTGAGGCGGGTTGAGGTGTGACGCAACGAGAAGCGCGACAGTTCAGTCTAAAGAACATGGCGGCTTCAGCCGATGAAACTAGCGTTAGCGTGGCTATCGAGCAAGTTTTATCGGAATTACAGAGTATTTCTTCACTGAAAGAAGAGCAAAACACTGCTCTGGAGGCTTTTCTCAGAGGAAAAGATGTTTTTGCTCTTCTCCCGACTGGTTTCGGCAAGAGTTTGATCTATCAATTGGCTCCTCTTCGTCGTCGCTCTGTTAGTACGTCATATGCTTCGTTGATCTGATTGGTTTATTTGTCCCGTCTATCACCAACATAGGCCAATCAGCTAACCAGTATTTTCGCCCCTTCCCAAAATTACTTCAACGGAAGGTTTCCAGATGGATATGCAGAGCTTCTTATTCATCTTTTACTGGTTTAGCTTCCAGATAGATGAGTCCGAGTATCTCAGTCTCACTGCGGAGCTGAGTCCGATGTGGTTTTTAGACGTACAGTGTGAGCAGGTAGATCGCATCAGAGCATTGGGCCGCACAGTGTGAGAACAAACATTGTGGGCTGTTTACTTTTAATCCCTGCGGTTGCGTCGTACAGTGTGAGATGTAGCTGCGTGCAACGATTGAAAAAAAATCATACAGTGTATGCCCGGCTTTAGCAGATGTGATTCATGGGAATTTCATCTCTGTGACCTTTTGCAAGTGGGCGATCTTATTGGCAGGGGTTGATGTTAAGGATTTTTGTCACTTGCCCGAAGGGCAAAATGTTTTTTTGTAATTCAGTAAGTTTCCAGGTTCCTGGTGTGTATCTGCATGCGTCAGATAATGAATTCAAGCCTACATTACCGTGTTAACATGCTTTTCAATCCTTCCTGCTCATTCTTTTCAAACTAAACTTTGCTTTAAACTGTTGTGTGCTTGGAAAAATATAAATTGTAATGTTAAAAATAAAAAATAAACTTGACAGGTTAGAAACTTACACTACTACTACTCACCAATTTAACATGTTTAGCTCTATAACATTTAAATGCACCACTCCAATGTCTAAGAGAAAAAAAATTTAATGAAAATTTTTTTATGTATGACCTGCATCACTGTACAGAAGACTGCCATATGATAGAAATATTTACACTGTGCGCATACAGTTATTATTTTCCTAATCCCTGACTGATCATTTTTAATCTAGCGTGTATTATAGTATAGATTAAATTCATCATCCAGCTGCTGCTCTGCAGAATTCTCTCCCCAAGAGCTGAATCACGCCATCTAGCGGAAAATCACGTGGCTATTTCAAATCACGCCAGAATGTGTACAAAACAACAAAGATGGTGCCGGCAACGCTTGTGGGTCGTTTTCAGCGAATGTCGGTGATTTTAAAGCAATTTTGAGTGATAATTTCTTTTTGCGACCATTGCACTTGCCCGACAATAAAAACTACTTGCCCAGGGCGATCGGGCGATGGTTAACATCGAGCCCTGATTGGTGTTTAGGTAAATAATCTGCTGCCCTGAAACTCTTTCCAACTCAATAAATGTTATATTGGCTGTAAAATAGAGGTCCTAAATACTCAAAGATATACCTGTCCTTTGCAATTTGTATACTGCAATGAAAATATAGCTGAAATAGATTGTAAAGCCCTAATTGGGTCTAAATTTCGATTAATCATATTTCAACAGTCATGTTTCTAAACCATAAAAACTTATTCAGAGCTTCTGAATAAATGTTTATCGTCTAACTTGGGCTCCAAAAACTTAGTAAATGTGGCTACATAAGCTGTTAAAAAAAAAGAACAGAAAAATCATAAAAACAAAGTTCTTGGTGACTTGGATGCCTTCTCCACATGTTATAACGAGTCCCCTGATGACAGGGGCCAAAATCCAACAATTTAAACATCCAGAACACATTAAAAAGTTCCTGCTGCTGACTGCAGTCAGGCTCCTCTCTTTACCTACAGCAATTTAAAGGAAAACTGTGTTCATGTTTTGGAAACAGGAATTTGGAAGCATATCTGCATTGGTTGGGAGTATTGATGTTGGCTCAGTCTGTTACAGGAAGTAGCCACAGAGGCCTTAATTTCTTCAAAATGCATAAAACTTTATTACTGATTGAATGGTTTACAATTGTTCTAATCGCAGCTTAAGTGTTGAATGTATTTGAGATGTTCATCTTTTTTTCAAATATCTAAATGTTTAAAAAGGCAGTTAAATGTCAATAACATATACTAGAGAGCTTATTTTAAACCTCCAAATGTTCCTGTAAATATTCCATGTATTTCGAAAAATGTAGCTTATAAAGTAACGCTATAGCTCTGACCGCGTTTACATCTGCGATAGATTTGCTACATGATTGGACTTTCTCATTGTTGCTGCTGACCTTGTTAATCCTCTGCTAGACAAGGCACTGAAAGAGACATTGGACCAGGTTCTGCTGAGTGGGTACTTTGACCGGATTCCATCTCACCAAAATGGAGTGTGCGAGGAAGAAGAGGAGGAAGAGCCAGCAGCTGTAGCAGCAGCAGCAGCACCAGTCACTGAATCATCAGAGGCAGAAGAGCAGACGGTTGACCCAGGTTATTCTCTTTTCTTCTTTCTCATACCCCATTTACTCTCTAGCCTTTTGAAAATGGAACGCGACTGAACCGGACCTTGCCAAACACAACCGAACCGCGCTAATTCTAGTGCTAGTTTGGCTCGGCGCATCTGAGACTCGGTTCTTTGATAACAAAGGACGGATGAGCAGACCGCATCATCTCTCAGTGAAATTTGGGCGGAGGACGTATTCCAGGTACATAAGTTCCTGAATGCCTCCATGTTTGTTTGTGTAATTCATGCCTTGACAGCTATAGTATCGTGGACTGTCGATTGGAGGCATAGAACTGTGCTAACATTAGGAGTGGAATGGTTCACAAAATCCACGGTTCGGTTCACGGTTTCGTGGTCATGGGGTTCGGTTCAGTATATGTTGATTGTTACCCCGAAATCCTATAAAAATTTATGAAAAAAAAACAAAAAAAATTAATGGATTGTAATTATTTTTAATGATCCGAGGAAACCCTGGATCATTTCCGTATGTTTTGCTGCTTTGAATTTAATCATCTGGCGCATGCTCTCTACGATCTCCAAGGAACGCAGAGCGGACGGGAGCCACAGTGGAGGCTATAGGCTTTGCTTTGAGCAGGCGGTCTGGAGCGCAGCGGGGCGGAGCGCTGACGGAGGATGAGGGATTTCGGGGTTAGCATGACATGTTGATCGTGTTGCTGTTAGCATAACCAAAACGTGTTGCACAATGCTTGCACACTGTTGCACTTTTATCCACAGCTTTCTTTCCGCCGTCATCGTAGGTCACTCTAAATGCAAAGTGGTCCCATACAGCAGACCTATAAAGTGCTGCTGGCGCGTCTTCCAACTCCTGTTCTTTCCCACTCGACATACCCACACAATTCTCCACAACAACTGATTTTTTTCTGCTACACCCGGCTACGCTGCTTCGCTTCTTCTTCTTCTTGTTTACTACTGGTGGTTGGCTTTGGTCGAAGTACTGCCACCTTCTGCTCTGGAGTGTAAACGCTTCGCCTATGAGAAAAAGGAGCAGCGCATGAACCGAACGAAACACACGCGAACCGAACCGAGACAGTCGAACCGAACGGTTCCGACGGTTCTCATAAATCGTTCCATCCCTAGCTAACGTAATGTGTAAATGGTCATAACAACAAGCTTGGCACGATTAACTGATCCAAGCTCGGTCTGAACTCGGCACGGATCGGTTTCATGTTTCGAAGGGCTAATTTAAATGAGGCATCAGATTACTGCTTGTTTTCTTCAGTGTTTCATCAGGTGACAGTTCTCTACATTATTCTATATGAATGTTTGGGGTGTTTTTCCATTACAGAAACTGAAGTCATTGAGGAATTTACAGAGGCCATCACAGTGGAAACCACAGAAGTGAGATGAATGAAAATCCATTTTTTCTTTTTACTTTTATTTATACTTTGAAAAGTTCTTTAAATATTTTTATTTTCTTTTCAGTTCATAAACAGACAGTTCATTCCAGACAGTTCCTACAGCGGCAGTGAAAAAGAGCAAGGGGATGAGTGGACCAGGGAACCCGAGGTATGTAGCCTAAACCTCATTATTATGCCAGGGTATTTGTGAAATGCAAAAAGAAATGACCTAAATTTGCATCTCATATATTTTCAATGTTCCATATTACTGTCACTTTACCTCGTTCTAGAGCAACATTAACAAGTTCAGTTATGTTTCCCTTTTGGAGGCTGAATTTAGCCGCCCTTTAAACACCTTTAACGCATTTTATGTAACGACTTAAACCATCTACATTTTTACAGCTTTTGTTTTGAAAGCCGAGGTATTGCTTGTTGTCTGTTGTCTTATGACACCCGCATCTTATTTGCTGAGTCATGTGGTAACAAGTTGAGACAGTGAGGCTAGACGTGTCAACAAATAGGAGACATTTTTCAGATGTTTTGTCCAGCCTGTGCAGTTTGCTTTGATGGCAGCAGCAGCTTCGGTCCAAATAAATTAGCTGTCACATGTTTTTGGGGAATACAGCTGGGAGCAGTGAGTTTATCTTCTTTCTCATGTCTATAGCCGTGTTATTCTACCCCGGTCCTTATGGAACGCTGCTCTGAATGACATTTACACACCTGATGTCAATTGATGACATTTTATCAGGTTTTGCTGAACTGCAATCATCTGAATGAGGTGATATGAAGCAGAAAAGCATCTAAAACATGCAGGGCAGTGTGCCTTGAGGACCACTGTTGTTCTATAAAAGTGATTCCCAACCGGGGTATCCCTAGTTGTTATTGAGTGCATTGCAAGGGGTCGATGAAAATATTTTATTTCTTAGGTAGTAAAATTAAATAGGGCTGGGATCTGTTTTGCCTTGTGAGGACCTAATTGAAAAATTAAGCAAGCATTTATCGACCAAAAAGTAATTGGTTCTTATGTTTGAGTTCAGCTTCAACTTTGACACTCATCTGAACCAAGCAGAGGTAGGGCCCTATAAAATCCGTTTTATTTTTTACCAAAATTCCGTTTTATTTTTTCCCAAATTCCGTTTTTTCTTTTTTAATTTTTGAAAATTGCATTTTTTCCGCTTTATGTATGTATTTTTGCGCTTCCAATCAATGGAATGTTGACAAAACTTGCAAAACAATAGTTCACCTGACACGTAAAAGTCGCGAGGGAAGTGCTTGGCTCTGTACTCGGGGCTTAGCGTCGTGTTTCTCTTCGCCGTTTTGATTGGGGGGATGAGCGGAAATGACGGAGCGGGAGGGGTTGTGTCGCCCGGATTTGCGTCCCCCGGTCTGCATTTTTCCCCCATACATACGTTCTTCTCCCACACAAAAACAGAATTTCATTTCAAATGTAGAAATTCCGCGTTTACACTAGATTCCGCGTTAATTTGCCAATTCCGCGATTCCGAGATCGCGGAAATTATAGGGCCCCACAGAGGAGCAGACTGGATGTGGAGAACAGCCTGAGATCAGCTGTTTTTTGCACTGAGCTGTCAGAGCTCATGAAAGCAGCTCAGGTGTCTGAATGAAACAAAGAAAAACTGATGAAGTCAGTCTGACTATAAATTTTGTTCTGTATTTTGTTCTCAATTCATCCAGTGTAAATATGATTATAAAGGCGTTACTCAAAGGAGCTCCAGTTTTATAAATACAGGTTTATTATATGATTTCATTTTTGTAATTATTTCGATTCTTTACTGACTACATATTTATGTTGGGTTTTTTTTTAATTAAAGATTTAGTGAAAAGGTTTTTGTTTTATAATCAGTTACTGTACGTTCCACTTTTGGGCGATCATCAATCCATCTGACTGAGAGGGGAACTCCTGGTAAGACAAGATGCCCAAAGGGCAACACAAGTCAAAAAAGGTTGGGAAACGCTGGTCTATAGCACAACTCCATCCATATGGATTGGACATGGAGATTACTCTTTAAAAAAGTAGAAAAAAAAGATAAATTTTAACTGTTTATGGCCTCTTTCCCACAGAAAACATCTCGTTAAACCGAGTTTTAAAAACATGGGTCGACCCACTAACAATCGGCATTTAGCTCCCTTCCTACTGTCAAAAAAAACAAAAAAAAAGCTAGTCTAATTCCTCGCTGGCAGCTGCATGGCCTCTGTCCCCCCTGCAGCTGCGTGTCTGACGCCATCAGGCTAGGTTAGCGTAGATGATGTCACCAGTGTGACAGAAGTCAGGAAAGTAAACAATGGAGAAAAACATGGAAGGAAGCCAGGGCGTAGTCGGTGTGCTAAATTGTTTCGCTCTATTATCTGTCTGAATCCCTCTGACCAGAGCTACTCCATGTTTATCCAATGTAAACAGAGTTGTTTCTACTTGTTAGAGGGAAGCGACTGGCGCGGCGTCTTGACGTCCAAACGTTGCGTTCAATGGTGTCACGTAATTTAGCGGGTCAACCCGGCTCAGCATGCTGATCAGAGCCGGGGCGATTTTAACGCGGGTCATTTGACTCTGTGTGAGTGAGCTGTTCCCACTGGCACAAAAAGCCGGTTTAAACGGGTTTTGCCATTTGGAAAGAGGTATTAGGCCCCGTCCACACGAAGTCAAACCCTGGCCTAAACCAGCCTCTCATCCATACGAAGCCGGCGTTTCGGGGGTCTGTAAACAATCTTTTTTTTATTCAGCCTTCAGAGTGGGAAGATTTTGAAACGCCGTTTTCGCATTTCCATCTTTAAGCTCTAACCGCATTTTTTTTTTTACACGCATGCGTCATAGCGTCACCTCTAAACACGCATGCGCGACACAGTATCACAACAACAATGGCGCCGTCCTGTGTTGAATGGTTGCTGCTCATGCTACTCACCCTGCTGTCGGGCTTACAACAGAATCTTCTTCTTCTGGAATATCTCCAGGAAGAACAGAGCAATATCGACCACATAGTTCAGCACCTGAATTTGACTGAACCACGAAAATGGACCCGCAGGGCAACCATGTATAAATATTAGTGCGCATGCCCAACATTTCGTCGCTTATTTTTGCTTTGGCACCACAGCGCCACTTACAGGCCTGGCATACATTTTGCAGTGTTTTCATGCATTCGTGTGGTCGGTCACATTTATTTTACGTCTCCGTCTTTACGACAAACGTTTTGGAAAATATCAGCGTTTCGTGTGGACGGGGCCTAAGTTACAATCTATGGATTATTTTATTTTAGTAAATTGATTTAAAAGGTTGTTACTCATGAGGCTATTTGTTAATTCTTTTCAGTTTTTAATAGTTGTGGTTTACATCAAATGTAAATTAAAAACTTTAATTTTTCAAAATGAATTGAGACCAAATTTTCTAATTTGATGAGAAACTGAAGGCTTACTAAGCCACCATTACTAAAATCATCAACATAAATGACTGAAATACATCTGCTTTCATATAATGAATGAGTTTCACTCTTTGATTAATTCTGCTAAAATAAAGTAACTTTTTATAATCTTATTTGTTGAGAGGCATGCTTATATAGAGCGTTATAACCAGATTTTCCTGTATGAGAATGAAATGAGAACTATAAAAAGTGTAACGTATTTATTTTGTGAACTGGTTCACAGCTAAGAGGAGATTTTTTTTTTGTAAGCTAGGACATTTGTTACCACTGTCCTCAGTGTTATTCTAGACAAGCTGTGATTTACGGTAAACTCTCTAAAGCAAATTTTAAAATGGCTAATTTAAATGAAACTCTGAATTACTCTTACAGGCTGTTAGTGCCTTGCAACAGCAGCAACAACAACCCGTACAGCCTACAGCTCCCCCTGTTGCTCTGGAGACCCATCCCATGAACCTCACGTCTCCTGTTCCCCCAACCGACCCGCTGGTCCGTAAGCAAGTGGTGCAGGACTTGATGGCACAGATGCAGGGGACATACAACTTCATGCAGGTGGGGTGGGCTTTTCCACAACCTTCCAGATTATTGGTTGATGTTGGTGCTGATAGCTTCTCCTCTCAGGACTCCATGTTGGAGTTTGATGGACAGCCCATTGATCCCGCCATTGTGTCAGCACAGCCGATGAAACCTCCTCAGACCATGGACGTACCCCAGATGATTTGTTCTCCTGGTATGTTATTAAATTAAACACTGCTATGTGATTTGGAGAGAAGGTTTGATTTTATTGAAGTGTTTTTTTTTTCTTTCAGTTCACCCCGAATCCCGACCTACGCAACCCACCTCTGTTCCTGTACAGCCTGAGCCCTCACAGGTGATCATTGACTCATCATCACAATGCTGGTCACCAGAGTGAAGCAAATAGTAAAGGAATATGTTTTTTTTTTTTTTTTTTAGGTCCCCATCGTCTCACCAACACCCCCTCCATTGTATCAGACCTCTCATACACCAGATCCTCGACCCTCAACAGAACCCATCGACCCCATCCAGGTAAATCTGCCTGTTTGTTGAATTCTGGAACCAGATTGTTCATGCAGGAAATTTCAAGTTTTTCTCAAAATGTATCCCAGCTTTTAAAATTGGTCACACATCCATATCCTTTAAACTGCTGCACATTTAATAACTTCCTAAAAAAGTCAATGTTTTTTGAAAAAAAGAAAAACATAAAGGCAGCACAAGTAATTAAAGAAAGTTAAAATATATAAAGTAAGATGATTATATTACAAGAAAAATGAAGATAAAAAATCAAAGGAATGTTTGACTGAAAACTTAATTTTGTTTATATGGCACAAAGGTTGTTCTAAACAAATGTTATCAAGCTTGAGTTAAAGCAACTCTTTTAAAGTTCTTTTAAAGTTGTTTAGTTTAGCATAAGAACTAAAAGTTCATTCACTTCCTGAACCTCCTGAAGATGTCTAACAATTTCTTAAAATAAGTGTTTTTCCACTTAATTTGAGTAGGAAAATAAGATGATCTACCAATGAAATGAGAATTAGGGCCACTGGGAAAAAAAAAAAAAAAAAAAAGTTAACTGATTTTTAAATTTTATTTCAGTTTAGTATGGGAAAAAAGTCAGAATTATAACTTTTCTCAGAATTCTGACTTTAATCTCGGATCTCTGACTTTAATCTCGGATCTCTGAATTTAATTTCGGAACTCTGACTTTAATCTCGGAACTTCTGACTTTTTTTATTGTCAGAATTCTAAGAAAAAAGTCAGAATTCTCGGAAAAGGCCAGAAATCTTCTCAGAATTCTGACTTTTTTCTTAGAATTCTGACTAAATTCTGACAATAAAAAAAAGTCAAAATTCTGACATTTTTTCCTCAGAATTCTGACATTTTTTCCTCAGAATTCTGACTTTGATCTCGGAACTCTGACTTTTTGTATTGTCAGAATTCAGTCAGAATTCTAAGAAAAAAGTCAGAATTCTGAGAAAAAAGTTTTTTTTTTTCCCATACTAAAATGAAATAAAATTTAAAAATCAGTTAACTTGTTTTTTTTTTCCAGTGGCCCTAATCCTCTTCCGTAGAAATGAGCTTTTTTACCCTCAAAATAAGATAGATATTATGCACTTGAAATAAGAGACTGTAGTTGTTTTCTCATATTTTAAATGTAAATTGTCTTATTCCATTGGCAAAGTGTCTCACCTACCTACTCGATTTAAGAAAAAATGCACTTATTTTTAGAAAAAATGACTTACTTAAATTGACAATTCTTGCAGTGTTCCTCATATATGGTTCTGGGTTTACAGAGTAGATGTGAGCCAGAATACCTGAAAGGTCTGTAATGTGTTTTGGTGCTAAGCCAATAAATGAATTATCAACTAAAGGAAGTATCTTAAAGTCTGTTCTGAGTTACAGTGAGCAAGTGCACAGACTTTAGAACTGGGACTATGTGCTCAACTTTCTTAGCTTTAGTGAGGATGCTAGCAGCAGCTTTCTGGATCAACTGCACCTGTCTGATCAACTTTTTAGAATGACCATTGCAGTAATGAATTTTACCTTTAAACCATTTGAGACATCAGTACCTTAATCCTGGAAATGTCCCTCTGAAGGTCCAGATCTCATTCCATTCATCATTTTTTTAGCTTGATGCTGCTTTCTAGATGTAATGACTGAATCTGTTTGCCAACTTTGGAATATTTTCCTTTGGTCCAAACATTTTTTCTTCAGTTTTGTTTGATTCAGCTGATGAAAATGTTGGTAAATCTATGCACGCAGTTCTTTGCATTTAGTTTAGCGCAGTGTGCATGAGCATTCCACCTCTGTGCCATCATACCCTTAAGCAAAACTGTGGTTGCTTTTATAAGGCAACTACTTGGTTTAAAAAAAATTGTCTATCTATATCCCAAAAAAGTGAAATAATCCACTGGACTTTTTTTTTTTTTCCAAGTTTCTCTTCCCATCCAGGAAGCTTTTTCAACTCAAACTTTCTGATTTGGCTTTGAGTTCAAGGCTTTATCATTTTGAATTGAAAAAGCTTCCTGCATGGGAAGTGAAACTTTTTCAAACTTGGGGGAAAAAAAGTCCAATCGATTGTTTATTTTATTTTTTTTACACTTTTATTGAATGACTATGACTTGGATGACTGAGAATCTTTACCAACAGTCTATCATTTTTATGGTTGTTCAGGCCTCAGAGATTGATGAAAACCATTAGTCTAAATGCATCATGAGGACCAATCCGCACATCAATCCCATCAGGGATCAAAAACTATCCTAACCTTAGAAAATCAAACTACCAAGAGATAACCCCCACTTAAATGTTACCTCTGACAAGGAAAACATATTTCAGAGAGGCAGCCATGTTAACCATAATAAATGTTTAGGAGGTGCTGAAGCCCATTGCTCTGTTAACAGGGTAACTATTAGCTATGTTCTTCACAACTCTGTCTGTTTTTAAAAGAAACCATAAGAAGTACATCTTTTAAATTTCTAAGTTCAGGACCACAAACGCAGACGAAGGTGATCTGGTCTGATTAGACCTACATATAATTCTGTGGTTTACATCCCAAACACTGTGTGATAGAAAACTGACAGCCATGCTCCCCCTTCAAACCCACCACTCACATGATGAAACATGGTGATGGCAGCATCATGATGTGGAGTTCTTTTCTTCAGGAAAGAGAAGCTGGTTAGTGTTGACAGAAGATGGATGGACAGAGTTGAATAATTGATTGGGGGGGGCAGGCAGAGCAAGGCTGTACTCTAAGAGCTGCAGTTAAGGCATATTCATGTAATTGTGGCCTAGTCAAAGTCCGGAACAAAATCCATGAGAATTTGTACCAAGAGCTGAAATCCAGGGTTGGAGAGTTGGTCTTAATCCACTCTGACTGAGCTTTAGCCTTTTCTTCTATAATGTTTAAAAAACTCTTAAAATATGCAGAGTTGGTAGAAACATTCCCCTAAACATCCAGAGTAAAGGATGTAACCCTGACTCCACCCTAACCTATCCAATACAATGCCGTGGCTTTACTGTGAGGGGGAGTAAAAAGGTATAAAGAACGTCATGTAAATGGATAGAATTTGTCAGTTTTATCCATTTACAGCTGATACTTTGAGTCTATTCTCTGCATCTTGGATATTGTGTTCCAATCTTCCTAATATATTAAATAGTTGCATTCTTTTGGAATAGCTTGGTGCTTATACTGGATGACTCTGGCAAGCAGAGACTCCTAAATCAAATTCCTGCCTTTGCAAAAATACTGATAAGTTTGACTTCCACGCCAGTGGTGGCATCTTTCTCTTTAACAGCCTGTGAAAGGACACATGCTGGAGGACTAACAGCATTATTAACTTGCTGATCACTTGCTAATAAACAAAAAAAGCTTTTGCCAGACAAAAAAAGAGCTCGTCTCATATGTGGAGGGAAAATCTCATTTACAGTCTGTCCTCGACACTCAGGCAAACATTTTCATCCCAACCCTAAATCTAATGTGTGTTGTGTCTCCCTCTACAACAGACCTCCATGTCATTGTCGTCAGAACAGCCTCCCCCCTCCACAGCTCTCCCTCCTGCCTCTCAGACGCAGGTCTTTCAGCCTGTTTCCAAACCTCCTCACAGCAGTGGCATCAATGTCAATGCAGCTCCATTCCAGTCAATGCAAACAGTAAGGCTGTGATGATACTTCCTGTTTCTCTTTCTAAAGGCCAAACTAGTCTCATACTGCTAAATAATTTGCCTTCAGCCACTGAATGCCAACTCATGCTTATCTTGTGTGTTTGTCTGCATTGTTCTGCATGACATAATGTAATTAACTGCTAAGGCCTATATTGGCTCTTTATCAATAGAGAACTGGCAAAGATTTGACTTTAGTGACCTTGCTTGGGTTTAAATTTGCACAAAAACATGGTTGCTTTTTATTTTTATTTTATTTATTATTTTTGCATTGCTAGCTTTTATCCCCCATTATGAAGCCAAAAATGGTTAAAAACAGATTCTGTAAATACATTAACATCTAGGGATGTACGATATTGGGTTTTTGGCCGATATCCGATATGCCGATATTTTAAAACTCATGTAGCCGATAACCGATATCGATACCGATGTTAAAGCTGGACAAAAATAAGTAGTCATTGAAAATAGCAGTTTTGTTATCCATTTCTGACACTTTGAAAAATAATATACTCAAATATATTTTCATATGCTGATATCAAATAGATTTTTAAAAACGCGGTATCGATCTATTTTACTTTCAAAATCTCGTGAAATTTAATCGTTCTGTTACAAACTCTCGTGATATTTTGCAAATTCTTGTGAGATTTTGTTAGTAAAATAGATCGATACCGCGTCAATATATCAACATATAAAAAAATGGCAACATTTGGTGAATTTTCGGGGGATTTCGTAGCACAACGATGACATATAGCAATATTTCATTAGTAAAACAGATTGATATGGTGTTTTTAAATGGCAATATATCAGCATGTGAAGATAGTGTGATATTTTAGTGTATCAATATTTTTTCCCTCGTCTTTAGAAGTTTTTAAGTCTGTAAAAAAGAGGTTTTTGAGGAAGAAGAAGAAGTAGTATTTATTTTTATTTTTTTTAGACTTTAGAAACTCAGAAGCTGATCAAATATCAGGTTAAATATCGGTGGGGTGGCCGATGTCCGACATTCAGTTTTTAAGCCGATACAGGCCGATACCGATAGGGGGCCGATTATATCGTGCATCCCTATTAACAGCGTACACTGTGTGTTTTTTTTGTTTGTTTTTTTTTCCCATTTTTATTTTTTTCTCAATCGTTGCACGCAGCTGCTGCTCACACTGTGCGACTAATCGCAGGGTTTAGTCGTACAATGTGAGCTCACAGCTCACGATTTATATTCGGCCCGATGCTTTCATGCGATCTACCTGCTCACACTGTGCGACTTAAAACCATGTCGGACTCAGCTCCGCAGTGAGATGGAGCTGCTCTGACGCGTCTATCCTGAAGCCAAACAAATAGAAGAGGTATATTAAGCTCACTATAGGGAAACGCGCTGCCTTGGTTATTTGTGCAGTTTTATGCTGAAAGCCCTGAAAAGAAAAAATGACGTATTTGGAAAACAGACATGGCTGAGCTAACGTGGCTGCTACGGTCTGTGAATTTTACAGACAGAACTGCATTTCACTCATTGCATCCCTGCCATGCTGCTGTGTTTACTGAAGAATCCTTTTTTTGCGCACTGAGTGATTTGCCCACGACGACCTCCCGATTCCTGATCGGGAGGTCCTCGTGAGAGGTTGATTGCCGCTCGTAACCCCCTGTACAATAAAAGACGCACGATCAGGCTGAAAGTTGGGCTGATTGAAAAATACTCGCACAAATGGAAAATAGCCCCGAAAATCCCACAGTGTACGCCAGGCTTTAAAGGTATAGTGTAGATTTTTTTAAAGTAAAAAAACACAAAACAATGAATGCGTTTGCAAGAGCGTGCACAAGCCTATTTCTCCTCGTGCACGCCCTGTTTAAAATGTGCTTTTCTCGTAGCTCATACAAGTTTACTGTGTCCACATAAAGCAGGGACTTTGTAGTGGAATTTATAGTGACCTCAGTTAAATGATCACTGCTTTTTCGCCGTTGGTCACGTAACTCCTCCTCCATCGCACAGTGCCTGCACCATCTTTGTTATAAGTCGTCACTGTTGGGTAGATACAGCCTAATGCCACCGTGGCGTCACTGCCCGATCCGTCCTGGAAGCACGATCCGTCCAGCGCATGTGCAAATAGATACACATCCGGGTGTCCATAAATAATGTAATAATGGTAGTAAAATTACTTATTTCTACCCTTAACTCACTAAAGAATGCAAATTCACATCTTTAAAAAAATGTTTATGACTTTTCTGAGACAATTTTGATGCAATATGGTATAAGGTATGTCATAAACATAAAACTCAAAAAGACTAGACTGTTTGGCAACACTTGGGTCACTTCAGGCCGCTGTGTGAACGTAGCCTTAAGGCTGATTTATACTCAGAAACCAGGTCATCTGGGTGTCTGTCGCAGTGAATGCAAATGTGTCCCTGCTGCAGACACTCTGCTGCAACTCTCCAAAATTTTAGGTGACCGCAGACAGGAGGCGTCTGATTTAGTCCACTCTACACTGTCTGTATTTCCTGTTTGGTACCTTAGCGGCTTGTTTTGTTTCTATGACCGCCATTGTGGAAAATGACTCATGAAGTTGGACCACCTAGAAGAGCAATGTGCGTGAGAACGCTGGGACCATTTTTCCACCTGGATCCCCGCTCTTGTTGGCCCTCCTGTCCCTCCGTTGTCGCACAAACTTGCCCCAACTTCCTCACCCCCTCGGCCGTATCTAGACCCACAGCTGGTTCCCGATTGGCCCTCTGGCGTTGTGGCGCAGACCATGCATCAAAATTGGTCATAAATCAAAAATATCTGCAAAAAGCTCACTGCGACACACTGCTGCTGGAGGATAACCAGGACTTAAGTCATGCGAGTTTTGGACACCAACAGACATGAAACATAAATGTAAAACAACACGGAAACGTTTTTTTCTACCTCTAAAGATTTAATCTTACAAACATCTTTTGCTTTGGTGGTCTGGCTGCTAACTACCTGCTTGAGCCATCTGTCGTAGTCTTGGTATGAACTGTTCTCTCAGGATTGTTTTTTGTTTCCTTCCTGATCAGAAAAGTTGTCCAGCAGACATGAGTTTATTGGTCAGGTCTCTTTCTTTGTTTATTTCCACAGCACTCTACGGTGGCCCTGAAGTGCAAACTGCAACTACAAATCTAAAAGCGCAACAAATTAAGGAAATCGCAACTACATAAAGCAAAGCACAACTACATTAAGGAAAACACAATTACATTAACCTCCCGGAAAAGGTCGGTACCAGTGGGAAACCTGAGACATCGCTGATTGGACGATGGTGCCGTTTGACCCTTGAACCGGAAGTCATTCTGCCTGCTGCGGCTTTTGAAAACATGGATATTGTCGGCGCCCCAAACATAGCTGCCGTTATCCAGGAATATTTTGAATCAGGACATACGTACGAGGTGATACAGGATATGCTCAAGACTAATCACCAAATTTCAGTTAGTTTGCGTACACTGAAGACACACTCAAAAGAAGCTGGACTGTTCAGACGACGCAACTTCTGGTTCAAGGGTCAAACGGCGCCGTCGTCCAATCAGCGATGTCTCAGGTTTCCGACTAGTACCTACCTTTTCCGGTAGGTTAATGTAATTGTGTTTTCCTCAATGTAGTTGCGCTTTGCTTTATGTAGTTGTGATTTCCTTAATGTAGTTGCGCTTTTAGATTTGTAGTTGCAGTTTGCACTTCAGGGCCACCGTAGAACTCACCTGTCCTTCGTCTAAAAATTAACTTTACAGTTAGGGTGCTTACTCTATCTTTTTATTCTCATCAGTAAGTGACCACATATTCATATCAACGCTTCCTTTATCCATCAAACAAAAGGTCCGTTTTCCATTTACAACAAGAGCCCATCAGATGCTGGGGATCCAGATATGTCACCATCCACATACTGAACCTCCTTCATCCTGTTCCTTGGAGAGCGGTTGTCATGAAGGCATTTTGTTTGCTTTAAAAATAAATTCCTTTTGGAAAACAATGAAAAGCCTGAAAATGATTAAGGGTTTCATATATGAAACATTTATTGATTTTATGACTTCTGCCCATCTGTCAAAGTGTTTTGGTTTGTTTTGTAGTATTGAAGTCGTAGGGAAATCATATTTAAATGTCAAATCATTCTGGCTTAAACATGTAGATAAATGTTCTCTTTATCAGACGATATTGTCCCAAAATTTTGAAAATTTCTATAATAAAAAAAAAAATCCTGTCTTAAAATCAGTTTTTTTTTTCTTTTTCCATTATCTTCTGCAGACCAGTTAGTTTTCCGTCTGCCTGAACACCTACATTCGGCCAATTATATATAGACATTTTTTCAGTCGTAGCATCTTGATTCATATGTCGCAGCTAATATACGCAATGGTTGAAATCAGAATCCTTTCCTTTCCCATTGAGTTGCGTCCCAGTGTTCACGGGGATGGACGTCTGTGTCTTCGGCAGGCGTAGAGCTAACAGAACTGGCAGCGTTGCGAGGCAAGGGCTCAAACATGTACGGCTGGAAGCCTTCTACACCAAACCAAGCTTCTGCCCCCCTGGCGTCCTCTTCCACAACATCTTCGTCCCCGCTTTCCTCCTCTAAATAAAAAATGGATGACGGAGGAGACTCATCCACGACCTCCGACACTAAACTCTCCTCCTCTTGCATGTTTCCTCTGTCCATAGCGTTCCTTGACAGTTTCGTTTCTAAGTCACCAATTTAGTGCTACTTGGTCCCAATGGAATTTCCCATTGGGAACCTGCTAGCACTACGTTGCTAACTGGTTAGCAAGGTGCTTCCGAGAAACTGGCCACAACCGAACTTGCTTGTGAACCTTCCGCCACAACAATCCTTTATAATCGACCAATCACATTCACTAAATTCACTCGTGTAAAGTCGTCCACCACTCGGGAGAATTCAGAAATGCAACGATTGGAACAGCCGCTTCCCTACGACTTTAAAGGGGGGCATGCACTGGGCGCGTTGCTGCACTTAAGCTCAGCAGAGCGTGCGCTACGCATAGGTTATGCACCTGGCGGTTTACCATTTTCAATAGTAAAAA